CAGCTTGCTTTCGGTCTTGGTGTTGCTTCTGCACCGTTAGTCAGCTGTCTTGTGCGTCATTTCACCTCCGGCCTGTTCGTGCGCCGCTTGCACCATCCTGGTCTCTGGTCAGCGTGCTCTGTCTTCTCCTCGGTTGGTAGTGCCCCTTCGGTTCCGGTGTGTTTTTTCGTCGGCTCTTTCCTTTGGGCCTTTGCCTCTGGGGGTCGGTTCGCTGAGTTTTCTTGCTCCTTCGGTTTTAGCGTTTTGGTTGTTTGATGGCAGCAGTCTCCATCTTTTCTGGCGCGGGGTGGGGCTGCTGCATTCTGGAGGGGTCCAGGGTTTGTTGGTGCTTTGTTGGTCGGGCCGGGGGTGTGTCGTTTTTGTGTTCAGTGGCGGCCCTCTGCTGTTGTTTGCGTGCCACGGCGTTTGGGTCCGGAGCGCGTTTTGCGTTGATCCGGTTCTGTTCTTCCCGGTTCGCGGGTGATGGTGTCCCGGGTGGTCAGCCGTGTTCTTGTGGCTAAGCTGCCTGTGTTCTTCCCTCATGCCTGTGGCGTTCGTGGCTCTCGCTGCCATCTGGGCGACGTGGCCTTGCAGTCTTTCGGGCATGGATTTTTGGTGTTCGTGCAGGGGCCTTGCTGCTCGTGGTTCTCGTGTTGTTCCCGGGATTTTCGGGGCTGTGGCGCCTTGGGTTGGCGTTTGCTGCCGGTTGTCTCGCCTCCTTGGGGGGTGCGTGGTGTCAGCCTCCCGGTTCTGTCCCTTTGATCTTCCTCTGTGGGTAGTTAGCTCCGGGGAGCCGACGGGGCTCCCCCCAGAAAACCAGCATTGAATGTAATGAAACGCCATTTTCTGGGTGAGACCCGGAGGCTCCCCGGCAACCCTCCCTCCCTCCCTCCGGTCGGCGTTTTTCGCGTGTTTTGACATCCAGCCTCAGAACTGATGGGTGGATAGCCGGCGTGGGAGGTCTGGGGCTCCCCCTTCCCCCTCCCGGGGAGGGGGGAGCTGCGCAGACAGCGGCGCGGTGACGTATGACGTCATACTAGTTTCCGTGTTTTCTGTTGAAGAGTTCTATTCACTAGTTCGGCTTAGGTAGCAATTTTCACCAGAATAGGGGTTTGTTTTGGAATGCTTACCTTTCTGGATGCTTGACCCGGTCGATGGCAGACATAGAATGCTTCCAACCACACGGGGGTTTCTATAGGCCATTGCTCCCCTTGCCTCTCTGAGGGGGCCAGGTTCTGGCTCGTGGTCCCCGGTAGGCCCTAGAACTCCATACACATGACTGATGCCAAAGTCTGACATTAGCATATCAGCCGGTAAAGCTCCGGGGAGCCTCCGGGTCTCACCCAGAAAATGGCGTTTCATTACATTCAACGCTGGTTTTTTTACCCTGAATGTTGGCAAATAAAAATGAGGTCATGTTTGTGGAAGTGCTGGATGCTTTACTTAGTGTTAATATCTGAGGCTCTGGTAGGAAGGCCACTGTGTTTGCGTCCTCTTTAGCATTTGACCAAGTTAATGGTAGAGTCTGAACATTTTTTAGCTATTCTTCTCCTCCTCCTCTTTCTATAAAAAACATTCTGGTAATTAGTGTTGTAGCTGATTTCATCGAGGCGGTTTGTCGATCTTATTCACCTGGTACCTTTTATATGAAAAGCTGGACATTCGTATTTAATGAGTTCTTGCACAGTTCTGGGTGAAAGAAATCACAGCTTTTGGTACATTTACCAGTACTAAGAAGGTTTCTGCACTTTCTAGAATGATCATATTTACATATTCCATTTGTTCTCCCCGATATCCCATATTTACGGATTCCCTATTTATTATATCGACAGGTTTTGGATCCTTGTTTTGTTTGTTTTAAAAACCATGGCACTACTATTGCGCCCGGTTCAGGCACCGACACCTCGTTCAATCCCAACATCGCGTCTGGCGCCAACATTGCATTCAGCTCTGGCGCCAACATCGCATCCGGCTCTGGCATCACCATCACATCCGGCTCCGGCGCCAACTCCCAGAAAGTGGCAAATTTCATTGCATTCAATGCTGTTTTTTTTTATGTATCATTTCACAAGCTTCCCAACTCCTATCACCTTGTAGACCAAAAAGTTGATTCCTTCCTCATTCCTACCCTCACTTAAACTTTTTTCTTTGACGAGGTTCAATTTGAGCTTCTCTCTGCCTTCCTTTGAAAGATCTTGTCCTCATGACCAGTTTCCCATCCTCATCACTTTGCAATTCCCTAACATTCCTGAGTACTTCTGTTTAGCTCCATTTAGGGTAATCCTAATGGTCAGTCTTTTCCTTTTTCATACCTGTCAGTTCTTCTGTAATCAAAGACAATCGTTGGTTGTAAAGTCCGTACACTAACCTAATAGTTTGATCAATGGCTACTCCTTTTCTGTGGCTCTTTCTGATCTAGATGTCATTTGGGTGCTTGATTGCATGCTTGTGCAAATAAATAAATTTTCTTCAGGTTCCTCAGGTTCGCACAGTCCCGAAACAGGACTGTGTGAACCTGAGGTTCATTCTGGACTTGGCCCATCTAAACCCCTGGGTCTTTTGCCCCCTTTTTTCCGGATGACTACTCTGTCCCAGGTCCAGCTTCTGTTGGAGCTGGGCACTTGGATGGTATCTCTGGACCTCCAGGATGCGTATTGGCACATCCCAATTCATCTGGGGGTTGAATCATCCAGTTTTGTTGTTGGGTGTCTTGGTTACTGTTTTTGTTGTCTCCCGTTCGGGTTGAACCTGGCACCTCGCGTGTTCACACTCCTTACCCGGGTCGTGGTGGCTCGTCTGCATCTCCTAGGTCTTCAGATGCTGGCCTATCTCGACGACTTGCTGGTCTGGGCTCACAGCCAGTCCGCGTGTCTGCTCACCAGGGATCTGGTTCCCAGCTCGCCGGGTTCGGGTTCCTGGTGAACTGGCAGAAGTCCCATCTGGTTCCCTCTCAGGTTTGGACTTGGCGCTGGGTCTTGTGTGGGACTCTCGAACCGCTTGTTAGTCTCTCCCTCCGGAGTCTCTGTTTCTGCTGCGCTCCTGCCTTTGCTTGTTTCTGGGAGGGCTCCCGGGTCACTCGACGGTTGCTCGAGGGTTTGTGCAGGAGCCTGAACTTTGTCGTGGTAGTCTACCTGCCGGGTCGGGTTTGGTTTCATCGGCTGTTCTGGTTCCTTCGGAGTCGTCCCTTCCGCCTCTCTCACGTACTGTACGCTGGGTTTGGGCTCCGGGGACTTTGCATTGGCTGCTGTGTTGCCGGCTTCTTCTTCGGGTTTTTCAGGGTTCAGTGCCTTGGTGCCTACCCGAGCCTTCGCTCGATGTTTTCACGGACGTGTCGTCTCTTGGCTGGGGCTTTGTGACCAGTGCTCACCAGGCCGGCCAGGACCCCCGTGGTGGGGTCCATCCTTCTGTTGGGCCCACAGCAGGGTGCGGGAGTTCACAGCAGTATGGATGTCACTTCAAAAGGTTCGGGTCCCTCGTGGATCGACGATCAGGCTCCATATGGACTGCTACCCCCGGTGGTTCGTTGCCTGAACCGAGAGGGTTCGATGCAGTCCTTGGCTCTTTGGGGCTGGTCGCTTCGGGTGACTCATCTGCTGAGTTCTCGGGGCTTGGCTCTCCTGGCCATTCACATTCCGGGGGTGTCCAACATTCTGGCCTGTGTCGATTCATTTCCCTGTCCTTGGAATGGATGGTCGACACCGACTCATTCAGTTGGCTCTGCTGGACGTACGGGCTCACGGAGGTGGACCTCTTCGCATCGGTGTGGTCAAGTCGTCTCCTGGTATATATGGTACCCACTGCGAGGTTGTCGAGGTTGAATGTTTTGCAGCAGGACTGGTTGAGGTGGGGTTACCTGTACCTCTTCCCCCCCTTGGTTCCGCTGTTACTCCAGGTCCTAGCTCACTTGGAGACTCGGCAACAGTATAAAGTCTCGGCGGCAGTATGAAGTTTCCTGGCAGTCCTTCCATTTTTTTTTTCTCTTTGTAGGTATACTTCCCTTTCTGTTAAGGTGGTCTTGTCCTTTCTCTCGTGGCTGTTTCAGGACCGTCATCTTATGCTGAAAACTGTTGCCTCGTTTTGTGCGGCGCTGGTGGAGCCGCTACAGCTTGCTTTCGTCATCGATGTTACCTTTGTGCCGTGTCTCAAGCTGTCTCGGGCATTGTTTCACCTCCGGCCTACTCACGCGCTGCCTGAGCTGTCCTGGTTGTTGGACAGAGTGCTCTCTTATCTCTCTTCCCTCAATTTGTTGTGACCCTTCGGTGCAGGATTCTCTCTCCAAGGCTCCAAGGAACCCACACCTTGGCTCCAAGGTGTGGGTTCCCAGCACAAGGGGTCTGGGGCTCCCTCTTTCCCCACCTGGGGAGGGGGGAGCTGCGCAGACGGTAGCACAGCAAGTGGTGACGTCATGCTCGTTTGCTTGTTTTTCTTTGGGAAGTTCTGTCCATTCATTTGCTTGTTTTTCTTTGGGAAGTTCTGTCCATTCATTTGCTTGTTTTTCTTTGGGAAGTTCTGTCCATTCATTTGCTTGTTTTTCTTTGGGAAGTTCTGTCCATTCGTTTGCTTGTTTTTCTTTGGGAAGTTCTGTCCATTCGTTTGCTTGTTTTTCTTTGGGAAGTTCTGTCCACTTTTGACTTTCAGTAGTAGTTTCAACCAGAATAAGGGTTTGTTTTGGGATCCGTACCATTCTGGGTGCCTGACTCCAAATCACATATGCATTTTCTAGGCCATTTCTCCTCGTGCCTCTCTAAGGGGGTCCAGGTTCTGGCTCGTGGTCCCCGGTAGGCCTAAGAACTCCTAAGATCAGGAGGAGGAACTCTATTCACAATCCATTCACTGATGCCAAAGTCTAATACTGTATATCCATATCAGCCTGGATAAGCTCCGGGGAGCCTCTTGGTCTCGCGTAGAAAATGGCGTTTCCTTACATTCGACGCTTTTTTTTTTCCTTTATTACTATTCAAAGTTCCAGGAAAATGTGATCTAACGTATGTATAGGGAATAATTCTAAATTTATTTTGCAGAAATAATGCTGGAAGCAGAAACCATTCAAGATGAAAACAAATTTGAGGAAAACGTTAAAAAGAAAAGATCAAGGCGGAGGAGACGAGGAAGGAACCCGGCAGAAGATTCTACATCTGGACCCAGCACTCTTCAGCCCACTGCTACAGATGTGAAGAGTGAATTACCCTTACAAAATGAAGAAGAAAACAAATTAGAAGGACATGTTAAAAAGAAAAGATCGAGGAGGAGGAGAAGAGGAAAGTACCCGACAGAGGATTCTACAACACCAGGACCCGCTCAAGATCAAAGTATCATTAGCGTTGAGGGAAATAAAGATGGTTGCTTGACTGAGATATCTGCGTCAAGTAACACTGATGGCATTAGTGCAGTGAGTTCTGCAATAAATACTAATGATGAAAACAGTATAGTGAAGTCTAGTAACACCGAAAAGAAAAAGAGAAGAAGGAATAGAAGGAAAAGACCTATGAGCTCTCAGGGCGGAGGAGATAATGAGTTGGCACTTGAGAATGTAGGAAGTTCACAATTGGTTAATGAAGGCAACTTAAATGTTGAAGGTATTGGCAATGGTAAAATTGAGGTAAAAGATTTTGATGACATAGATGGAAATAGTGGAGCAGGCTGTGCTTCAGTAGCTACTGATGCAGGAGAACAAAGTTTAGTTATGTCTAGTAGCACAGAAAGGAAAAAAAGGAGGAGGAGGAATAAAAGAAGAAGGGCTTCAGCTTCCCAGGGCAATGGAGAAGTTGAAACACAATCTACAAATGATGTTAATTCAAATATGACTAATTTGGATGGTGTGAATGCTACACATGATACCAGTTTGAATATCAATAATTTTGATGGTATACAGTCGATAAATGTCGTAAATTCCACAATGATTAATATGGATGGTATGCAGAATGTAGGTGCAATTAATAGTGAATGTAACTTAAATGTGAGCACTGCGGATGGTATGGAAGTGCAGGAGAGGAGACGGGCCAAGAGGAGGAACAGAAAGCGCAATAAAAAAAGAGCATCCACTACTGAAGGTGATGATGTTGCTCAGATGTCAGAGACGGTAGCCAGTATTGAGCCTACTATTGTCAGTGATCAACCTGCAAAAAAAAGGAGAAGAAAGAGAAAGAGAAATAATTCAGTGCCTGTGGATATGGCAGAAGCCGCAAATGTCACAAACGAAGAAAATGCAGAAATTAGTGATGGTAATATGAAGAAAATAAAACTATCTCCAAATGATGATGTATTACCCACTGAGGAAAATATTGGAGGATCTGTTTCAAGTCAGCAAAAGAAAAACAAAAGAAATAGGAATAGAAGGAGAAGAGCCAAAAAGGATTTTAAAGATAAACAAGATAATAATGCAGAGTCGATTATTGACTCGCAGGAAAATGGAGATGGAATTCTTAAGGCTGCTGACAGTGATCTAAAAGATGGAGAAGAAACTAGTGGTAAGTTTAATACTGAGGGGGATATGGATGATACTAAAGATGAATGTTGTACCACTCAACCTTTGCAGCAGGCTAATAATAACCAGACAAATAAAAGGAAGAGAAAAAGAAACAGAAGGAGAAAGGGGAAGCAGAGTGTGGTGGAGAGTGAGAGTGATGCACAGACACCAGGTGTAACACACACGGGCGAGACTCCACACAATGGTACAGAGTCGGCTCACCTCTCGGAGGAGGGTATTTCCCGAGTATTTGATGAAGAGTTTGATAGTCCAGCTGTTAAGAAAATGAGGAAAGATGACCAGATAAGCACAAGCATTATAAATGGAAGTGCGGCCCCTGCTACTGTGGAACTTGCAGCAGTGTATGCCGATGAAGAATATAAAAATAAAATAAAGAAACATTGGAGTGAAGGCAAAGGACAGTTTTGTGAAGGTAAATACTAGTATAGTATTTATTATAAAATTTATTATTTATTTGTAAACAGTTATGTATTTTCCCTCTATACCTTTTGTACCTTTTCTCTACTAGTTTTAGTTTAGTTCATTTATTATGCACCCCATACCCATGCTGTGGGTGGTAGTGGGAAGGGTTACAGAGGCACATAATGGGCTCAGGGACTGAACCCCACAATTCATTTAGCTAAGTAAGTTACAGTCTTGATGAGCTAGTTACAAAATTCAATGCACATCGTTATATTAATAGTGAAGTCGAGACCGAGCACAAGTACAAAGATACCTTAGGTTTCAAATTTAATCCGTTCTCAGAGACTGGTCGTAAGCAAAAAATTTGTAACCCAAAACAAATTTTCCCATAAAAAATGTAAATTGAATTACTGTAATCTATTTCACACTCCCAAAGATATTAACTTCAAAATACATTTCATACATAATACACACAAATATTTTGTACTATAGTATGTACAAGTTATAGCTTACCTTTATTGATGACTTGTTGGCATATGGAAGATGGTGAGGAAAAGGGAGGGGGGGGGGGCAAGGAGAGGTGTTAGTGTTTGGAAGGGGAGTCCCCTTTCATTATAACATGAGGCAGTGATGACGTCTCTGAGGTGCTCTCTCCTACGTTCTGCAGGCATACCACTAGGACCTGGTTGTGGCTCACTGCCTGCTTGTCTTACTAAGAATCTGTCTAAAGACACTTGTTTTTCTCTAGGTTTTAACACTTGAAAAAATGTTGGGAAGAAGAGAAAATTGAGCATGCACATTGTGGTGATGCTAGTTCCTCATGATGCTGTTTAATGATGAATGTGCATGGAAAGTAGTTGTTTTTAATACCCTTTGTGTGTGTAATTACCTAAGTGTAATTACCTAAGTGTAGTTACAGGATGAGAGCTACGCTCATGGTGTCCCGTCTTCCCAGCACTCTTTGTCATATAACGCTTTGAAACTACTGACGGTCTTGGCCTCCACCACCTTCTCACTTAACTTGTTCCAACCGTCTACCACTCTATTTGCGAAGGTGAATTTTCTTATATTTCTTCGGCATCTGTGTTTAGCTAGTTTAAATCTATGACCTCTTGTTCTTGAAATTCCAGGTCTCAGGAAGTCTTCCCTGTCGATTTTATCAATTCCTGTTACTATTTTGTATGTAGTGATCATATCACCTCTTTTTCTTCTGTCTTCTAGTTTTGGCATATTTAATGCTTCTAACCTCTCCTCGTAGCTCTTGCCCTTCAGTTCTGGGAGCCACTTAGTAGCATGTCTTTGCACCTTTTCCAGTTTGTTGATGTGCTTCTTAAGATATGGGCACCACACAACAGCTGCATATTCTAGCTTTGGCCTAACAAAAGTCATGAACAATTTCTTTAGTATATCGCCATCCATGTATTTAAATGCAATTCTGAAGTTAGAAAGCATAGCATAGGCTCCTTGCACAATATTCTTTATGTGGTCCTCAGGTGATAGTTTTCTATCTAGAACCACTCCTAGATCTCTTTCTTTATCAGAATTCTTTAAAGATTTCTCACATAATATATAGGTTGTGTGGGGTCTATGTTCTCCTATTCCACATTCCATAACATGACATTTATTAACATTAAATTCCATTTGCCAAGTGGTGCTCCATATACTTATTTTGTCCAGGTCTTTTTGAAGGGCATGACAGTCATCTAAATTTCTTATCCTTCCTATTATCTTAGCATCATCAGCAAACATGTTCATATAATTCTGTATACCAACTGGTAGATCATTTATGTACACAATAAACATCACTGGTGCAAGAACTGAACCCTGTGGTACTCCACTTGTGACATTTCTCCATTCTGATACATTGCCTCTGATTACTGCCCTCATTTTTCTATCAGTCAGAAAATTTTTCATCCATGATAGAAGCTTACCTGTCACCCCTCCAATATTTTCCAGTTTCCAGAACAACCTCTTATGTGGAACTCTGTCGAAAGCCTTTTTTAGGTCCAGATAGATGCAGTCAACCCAACCATCTCTTTCCTGTAATATCTCTGTGGCTCGATCATCGAAACTGAGTAAATTCGATACACAGGATCTTCCAGATCGAAAACCATACTGTCTGTCTGATATTATATCATTTCTCTCTAGATGTTCTACCCATTTAGTTTTGATTAGTTTTTCCAATACTTTCACTATTACACTTGTCAATGATACAGGTCTATAATTGAGGGGGTCTTCCCTGCTGCCACTTTTGTAGATTGGAACTATGTTAGCCTGTTTCCACCCGGCTGCTACGATTCCTGTACACAGGGATGCCTGAAAGATCAGGTGAAGTGGAATGCTGAGCTCAGATGCACATTCTCTCAGAACCCATGGTGAAACGCCATCTGGGCCAGCTGCTTTGTTCTTACCGAGCTCCTTGAGCATTTTTTCCACTTCGTCTCTAGACACCTCTATGTGTTCTATGTTGTTCTCTGGAATTCTTATTGTATCTGGTTCCCTAAAGATTTAATTTTGTACAAACACACTTTGGAACTTTTCGTTTAGTGTTTCACACATTTCCTTTTCATCTTCCGTGAATCTATTTCCCATTTTCAACCTCTGAATATTATCCTTTACCTGCAATTTGTTGTTTATGAATTTATAGAATAGACCTGGTTCTGTTTTACATTTGTCCGCAATCCCTTTTTCAAAATTTCTTTCTGCCTCTCTCCTCACTGCCGTGTAGTTGTTTCTCGCATCTTTGTATCGCTGGTATGTTTGGGGGTTCGGCCTCTTCCTGTATTGATTCCATTTTTGTGTCTTTCGGTCTCTAGCCCTCTCGCAATTTCTATTGAACCAATCCTGTTTCCTAGTTCTGCATCTCTGTTTTGGTATAAATTTTTTTGTGCCTTTATCATATATTTCACAAAACTTGCCATACATCTCATTCACTTCCTTGCCTAGCATCAAGTCTGTCCAATTATACTCACTAAAAAAATTTCTAAGGTCACCATAATGTCCTCTCCTGAAGTCTGGTTTTTCAACTGCTTCAACCTCCTTATTTTCTTCCAGCTTATAACGCATTGCATACTTTATTCCCAAAAAGACATGGTCACTTTTACCCAAGGGAGGAAGGTACTGAATGTCAAATATCTCTTCCTCCTTCCTGGTAAATATCAAATCTAGCATGGAGGGAACGTCCCCTTCCCTCATCCTCGTAGCTTGTTTAACATGTTGATACAAGAATGTTTCCAGGATGAGGTCTACAAATTTACAGGTCCAAAAATCTTCTGTTTTAGCTTCATATGCTTCCCAGTCTATGGATTTCAAGTTGAAGTCACCGACTATCAACAGTCGTGATCTATCGTTATCCGCTCTCACTATAATCTCTCTCATTATTGTTATAAGACCTTCACGTTTACTATCTAGCTCCTCCTTTGACCATGTGCTGCTTGGCGGTGGACAATATGCATTTATCATCATTAGTTTATCATCCTCATAGCAGATCTCTAGTGCTATTATGTCAACTTCTTGTGGATTGGCAGTCATTATTTCCTTCACCTTTAGGTGTTCTTTTACCAGCACAGCAACGCCACCGCCTTTCCTAATTTTTCTGTCCCGTCTCCAAATTGAGTAGCCCCTCGGGAATATGACCTCATTTAAAATTACATCTTCAAGTTTTGTCTCCGTGAGTGCAACAATGTCTGGTGTCTGCAGCTGTATTACATCACTTAACTCCAGTATCTTCGATCTCACTCCATCTATGTTGGTGTATGCAATCTTCAGGAACTTGTTCCCCCTCTCCTTATTCTTCACTCCCCCTCTCTCTATTGATTTTGTTGGTTTGCCTTTATGTACCACTTTACTGGTTTGCCTACCCCTATCACTTTGTAGAAAAAAGAATTTATTTCTTCTTCATTCCTGCTCTCATTTAAATGTTTTGCCTCGGCGAGGTTCAGTTTCAGCTTCTCTCTATCTTCTTTTGAAAGATCTCGTCTTAATGACCACCCTTTCCCATCCTCATCCCTTTGCAATTTTCTAGCATTCCTTAGTACTTCTTCCATCTGTTTGGCACCGTTTAGGGTGATCCTCAAAGGTCGATCTTTCCCTTTTACGTACCTGCCTATTCTCCTGTAGTCGCACACATTCTCTCTGTTTGTAAGACCTTCCACGAGGCCAACAATTTTATCTACTACTTTAGCTTCTTCTACAGCTCTTTCTGACCTAGATGTTATCGCCTTTTCTTTGCAGCCAAAAATGATCAGGGACTTACTCCGATCAACTGTGTTTTGCACCAACTTCGGGTTAGATGCCAATTCTTTCCTCACTTCTAGCCTAATGTTTGTTTTATCTTGGTTGCTGCAGTGTTTGACTTCCTTTACTGCTTCTTCTATTTTTTCCTTCTCCTTGGCCACTTGTGCATAAGTGAGTTGCATATCTTTCTTGCACTGTTCTATTCCCTGTGTAACTTCCTCCATCTGTGCTGACAAAAGCTGTTTCTCCTGTTGAATTTCCTTGCCTAACCTATTGTAGTCATTTATGTTTAAATTTACTTTAACTTCTTCCAAAGCTATTTTTAAGAGTTTATTTTCTTCTTCCATGGCTTTGCAATTTGTTTCCAATTGATTCTTATCCTTGCGCAAGTCTTTCACTAAACCCTCAAGACATAAAACTTTGCTATTCAAATGGTCATTACTTTCTTTCAATTTACTAATTATTTCTACATGAGAGTTCACTATAGTATCTAAATTTACCAACTTGTTATGTAGACTACTAATATCAATGCTTTCTTCATTGAATCCCTCAAAATCAAGCTCTGTTTTGTTTTTCCCCTTGCCAGTGGCCATCTTGAATGTTCTTCTCTGCACTGTAAACACTAGGGCAACTTTTTCTCATCCGATTTTTCACTTCCCTTAGCACTTTCCTGTTATCTCACCTATTTTTCAAGAGCACTATACCTTTATGTTCTCTGGGACACCACTCACTACCATCAACCTGTACTACAATACTTAGGATTGTTGAAATATGCTGGAGCTCCTCTGCTGCAAGTGATGTGTGTGTGTGTGTGTGTGTGTGTGTATGTATGTGTGTATGTGTGTATGTATGTATGTATGTATGTATGTATGTATGTATGTATGTATGTATGTATGTATGTATGTATATATATATATATATATATATATATATATATATATATATATATATATAATGTATGTATGTATGTATGTTTCCTCTATTTTCTGTAGTCTTGATGGAAATTCCTGCCAACCCTATGGCAGTGGGTAATGTGAGAATACTGATGATGATGACAGTTGCTTTGTTCATGGTTTACCCAAAATATGACTCCAGTCTTATTATGTAGAGAAACACCCAGATGAAAGCAGACTTTATGTGCAGATAATAGGTTGTGTGCAAGAGCTGCGTCACATCTAGCACTAGCACAAGGCTAGTGCTTATAAAGGTGAAGTGAGCTTACAAATGTTAGGGTTTAGGTATTAGAATTGATATTTTGAAGTATTAAGATGGGTAGCAAGGTTGCATTTTCCTTGATTTTGCTCAGTGATCTTGTAATGTTCAAATTCAGTGCATTCTCCTAATGTTTTCTTTAGCATCCCTGAAGGTAACGAGGTGTTGCGGGATTGTGTATGTGACACAAGGTTGTCGGTATCATGTACTCGACAGACTGCGAGCCTTTACAGGCAAAGTATTACTACAAATACACTGTAATGTTGTACTGGTGTTGCTTTATGTGGTTGTTGGCTTGCTCAATACTGATTAAAAAATAGCAAATATAAATCTACTAATTACCTTAAAGATTTATATGGTTTGGGGTCTATGCAAGACTAAGTTGATTATTTGCAAGCTTTTCTGTATTGGGCAAGAAATTTAAATATTTATTAAGAGTTTCTAATTATTGAACAGTGTATTTGATTTTGTTTATTATAATTATAATTTGAACCCTAATAGATAACAAGTATTTTCTCTTAGATACAGGCTTGGAGGTTATAAAGGAGCCTTTTACATGCTGTTATCTTCCAAACTTCCTGAAAAATGAGGATTGTCTTAAGGGGGTTGTAGAGGAGCTACAGGACATGCAGTTTATAATGAAGAGCAACGATCTTTACAAGGTAAATATTATAGGAAGTGTCAAAAACGAGTTTTCTGAAAACTGTTCTTAATATTGATATAAACAAGAGTAGTGTGTGTCAAACAAAAGAGTAACATGAAGTTATATAAAGTGCATTTGATAGTAATATATTTTGGTACCAGTTTGTACCATGACCAAATGAACTTAGTACAGTGGCACCTCGATTAACGAGTTTAATCCGTTCCGGCACCGAGCTCGTCAAGTGGAAAACTCGTCTCGTGAAACAACAACAAAACTATCATCGGAGGTGTCCGAGAAGCAGTGGGAAAGCTCGTCATTCGAGACATTTTCTGCGAGTGGCTTGCTCGTTACTCGAAATGCTCGTAACTGGAGCCGCCCGTCACTCGAGGTTCCACTGTATTAGTAGTAGGATATTTTTGTTAATGCTTCTGTTAATGTGCATACCCAAGTCAGCCCTTGTATGTTTTCTTGATTGAGAGTCGGGGAGGTTGGTGGTTTCCACCTGTTTTTCCATTTGGTGTTTCTTTGGGTGTAGCTGGGCCTTCTTGGGGGTTACACCTTTCACATTGGCGGCAAAGGCAGTTGAGCTGATATTTCCCATTTTCACTGCCTTCTGTTTCTTTGGGAGGGGGGGGCATATTTTGATGCTTGGATCCTTCCCTTGGGGAAAATAATTTTCTGTCTATGGCATCTGATTCAGAACATGGCTTTACCCCAGGGTCATAGTTTCTTGGGAATTCAAGAAGGGTTCATAAACACCCATTTTCCCTGTATGGTCTTTTGTGCCTTCTGCTGGAGTGGGATGGGAGGGTTGCTTCATGCTATTTCTTTTTTTCTGGTAGAAGCCCCATTGGCTCCCTGAAGCTATCACACTGAATAAGTGGCTACTACTTAGTGCCATCAGTTATGGAGTTCTGTTGGCCTACCTGGGACCATGAGCTAGAATCTGGCCCCCCCTCAGAGAGGCACAGGGAGTTATGGCCTATGAACACTTTATATTTAAAGTTTATCAGCTTTGCAACCATCCAAGGGCTGTCTACCATCCACTATCCACCCAGAAAGATATGCAAATCAAAACAGACTACTGCACGGTTAAAAATGAGACCGCAGCCTCAAAATCCCCCCCAAAACTCCAGAACAATGAAAACAAACCACCAAAATTTAATGAACCTAGCACTTGCTAGTTTGCCCCACCTCTCCTCTCATTTGGGGTTAGGAGGGAGGCAGACCAGATCATCCAAAACACACCACCTCAATGACTGGCTGGTGTGGGCCCCTGTCCAGTCTGTTGTCTGCTAGCTGGGGATCTGGGTCTTTCCCTGGCTCATAGGGTTTGGGTTCCTGGCATTCTGGCAGAAGTGTTAGGGGTTCCATTCCTTGTTCGGACCTGGTTGGAACTCTTTTTGGGTTCTCGGTTGGCCTCGCTTCCCTGCCTCCTGCAGCCTTGTCCTGGCTGTGGCTCTGCTCTCTTCGGGGTTGGGTTGGCTTAGCGGTTACTTGAGCGGTCAATTGGGAGCCTGTACTTTGCCCTTCTGGTTCCCCGTTGGGTGGGGTTTGGCTTTGGAGGTTCTATTCCTTCAGGACGGTCTTTGCCTCTTGCTTTCGTTGGGTATGGACTCTGTGTGACTCTTTGCTGGCTGCTGCATCGATGGTTCTTTTCCCATTTCGGGGGTACATTTTCCCTGGCTCCTTCCTCCATTCTCAGCATTCCCAGCTGCCTTGGCTGCCAGTTTGGGTTTTGGTCTTTAGCTCCCTTTTAGGCTGTGGTTGTTGGTGCTTTGTCGATTTTCAGTCTGGTGTGGGAGTTGCGCCTATATGGCAGGTGCAACGGAGGGTTTGGCTTCCTCTGGGCTTGTTGCTCCGGCTCTATTCAGACTGTTCCCCCATTTTTCTGGGGGGAGCCCCTACGGCTCCCCGGAGCTATCCATGGCTGATATGGATACCCTAACTATTTTGCATCAGTCGATGTGGGTGGAGTTCTAGGCCTACCGGGGACCACGAGCCAGAACCTGGCCCCCTCAGAGAGGCACGGGGAGCAATGGCCCATAGAAATGCACATGTGATTTGGAGCATTCTATATCTGCCATCGACCGGGACAGGCACCCAGAAAGGTAAGCGCCACAAAACAAACCCCTATTCTGGTTAACAACAAAAATCGACAAACGAGTGGACAGAACTCCCCCAGGAAAACGAACTAACAAGCATGACGTCACACGAGCCGCGCCACATGTCTGCGCAGCTCCCCCCTCCCCGGGAGGGGGAAGGGGGAGCCCCAGACCCCCGCGCCGGCGATCCCCGCCCCAGTTCCTCGGCTGATGGGATAATGCACGGTCGTGTGGCTCCAGCTCCAGTCTTGTCTCAGTGCTGTGACTTGTTTGCAGTGCTGCTCTTACGGTGGTCGTGTGAGCTGGGAGTAGTATTCTCAGGTACTCGGGCTGCATGTGCTTAGGGTCACCTTCCCTGAGTGCCCTGTAAGTACCGCCCTTGGGGCTTGGGGTTGCCTTCCACAAGTCACCTTGGGTCTACCTCTGTTGGCTTTTCGCTGCTTGGCGTTTGGCCGCCCCGAGGGTTTGGGGGTTTCACTCCCTTGTTTACCTTGGGGTAAGTGGTAGTTATCGCACTGGTGGGGCGCAGGGTACTGCGTAGCTAGTTTTCACCTATGACAGCGGCCGGCTCTGTTCCCTCTGGGTACATTGTCCAATTGTGTGGTTTTTCTTTTCTATTTGTTTTTGCCTGGTAGGGGGGGTCTGCCTTGTGTTCCCCTCCCTTTATATTAGGTTTGTTTGTGTGGTGGCACCCCCTGCTTTGCCCTCGCGAGTGGACACGTCCCGTGGGTTCAGCTTTAGCAGTTTGCTTGGTAGTTTGGGGCGCCGGTTAGCAGTGCCCTGCCTGCGATAACCCTTAGCAGACCCAGTCTAGGGGCCCTGGGAAACCCCCCGGGGGCTCTCGGGTCCGATAGTGGAGACCCTTGCGTCCCCTCTCGCTTTGTGTGAGTTGAGGGTTGCTCTGTCCCCTTGTCTCAGGGTGACTCTCCTTGTTTTTGCCTCCGTCATGCTGCCTGTTGGGTCGGTGACACATTCGACCCTTGAGTCCTGCGAGCTTTGTTGCTTGTTCGTGACTCCATTCACCCAGTCTGCTGATGAATTCCCGTGGGTGCAGGCAGCTCGCGCGTTGTAGGGTAGGATGTTGCAACGCGCTCTGGTTTGTCGCTTCCCTGGACGCCCCGATGCTGCCCCGCTTGTGTAGGGACCCAGACTTGGGGGTTTTGGTCGCTTCGGCCTTGATTCTTCCACGCCCCCCTTGTTTTCCCCCTCCTACTTCCGGCCCCTACGCATCTGCAGGCTTCGGGGTCGGGGCGGGGTTAGAGGTTCTGAGACTTGGGCAGTTTCGGGGGTTGCCCTGTCCGGGGTAGCTGCGGAGGCATTCGAGTCTGTTCCTCTGGCCGATGCTCCGGGGTCTGACCAGTGGGCCCCTTCTCTTTCAGCTCTCTCAGCTGCCCCGGCTTTTTCTTGTGGGGCCGGGGCTTTGGAGGTCGACTCGGCCCCGGGGCCTGGTGCAGAGGCTCCTGGGGTTGGGGAGGAGCGGCCTTGGGGGCCTTGGGCTCCATTGCGCCCCGCCTGGATTTCAGTCCTTCTGAGCGGGGCTTACTGTTGCGAGGAGTGGGGTTTTCTTTCCTCCCTCTGCGTACGATTTGGGCTTGGATTATGCTCTTCCCCGGGTTCAGTTCCGTGTCCCTGTGGTTTCTTCGGTTCCGTCTTCAGGAGGTTTTCGGCTAACCGCATCCCTTCGCCTGCGGTGCGGTTGGCCTTTGCGGCTTACCTCCTGCGTGTCCTGGAGTTTGCCTCCATACTGGTTCCTTCTGTTCTGGACAGGTTGGGCTCCTTGTAGCCGTTCGGGCTCCGTGTAGCCTTGTTGGGCTACTTCTCGCCTGGTTGGGCTCCTCGCCTTGTTGGGCTACTTCTCGCTTTATTGGGCTACTTCTCGCCTTGTTGGGCTACTTCGCGCCTGGTTGGGCTACTTCTCGCCTGGTTGGGCTGCTTCTCGCCTTGTTGGGCTACTTTCTTTCGCGTCCTGCGCATGCGCCGTGGGAGTTGTTTTGGTTCCGGGCGGTGTGCACACGTGTTCTGCTTCCATTTCTCTCGGGGGCTTCGCCTCTCGCTCTTTTCTTAATCCAATCCGTGCCCCGTTGCTTTGGGGGTGTTCTGGAGTGCCGCTGTGGGGAAATCATGAGGTTTTTCCCTGCGTTCTCGGGTGGGGAGCCTCCTTCACTGCTCCCCTCCTCTCCAGCATGGGCGCACTGGCCGCCTCCGGCGGATACGGACTTGAACGCTTGCGCCATGGCCTTTCAGAGCCTATGTTCTGCAGGTGAGTTGGAGCAGTTTTGGCGTCTCCTTCGTCCTGACACTGTTTTTGTTTTTGGGAGTAGGAATGGGTGTACATATGTCCTTGAGAACGTGGACCGTATCACCCGAGGTGCCTACTGCAGGGCTATTAGCCCATACTGGGCAGCTCTTGTTCTCTCCACCTGATTCTTTCCTCGGCTCACGGGTGTCTGCGGGTGGCCTCTTGTCCCTTCCGAGGCGGTTCCTGACTGTACTCCTCCTGCCCCTCTCCTATGATTGTCTAACCTTGCTTGAGTTCGGGGCCCCGCCTCTACCTTGTTCCGCAGTGCAACGGTGGGGGTGCCTGTTTGGTAGTACGTTTTCCTGTGTCGGAGGTTTTGTGTTCGCCTCCTTGCGCTTGCAGGTTGGGTTCTGGCTCTTTGTTTCCGCCTCTTCCCTGTCGTTTGCCTGTCGGGCGGATTCTGTGCTTCTTGGGCACTCTCGTCTCTGCTCTTGGGGCTGTGTATGAGGTCAGCCCATGTTGGGCTGCCTACTGTGTTCCTTTGATTGCCTGTTACACTGCACACATTTCTTCTACCGTCCCTGTGGCTCAGTTGGGTGCTTGGTTTCCGCCTGTGTCCCCTTGTGTGCCACTCGTGTACGATTTATTTATCTTCTCTGTCGCTTCCTCTGGGAG